GTGTGTGTGTGTGCGTGTGTGTGCGTGTGTGTGTCCCCCCACATTCTGTCCTGCACTTTCAACTCGGGAACCACAAAAGCCAGGCGGCTGAAATTTTGATATAGTGTTCCCCCCCAACGGGTGACGCGGCAAATTCAAATTCAGCTTTCCCTTACCCGCGGGTAACTCGTACGGCCCCGTGAAAGTTTTTCACGGGTAACTTATTAACTCAGGAACCGCGGGGTCTAGGAAGCTGAAATTTTGGGGCAATGACCCCTGCCGACGTTCAACCTTGCTCATCCAAATTCAGCGTTCCCGTACCCGCGGATAACACGCACGGCCCCGTGAAAGTTTTTCACGGGTAACTTATTAACTCGGGAACCACGGAGCCTAGGAAACTGAAATTTTAGGGTAATGATCCTCTGCCCATGCTCAACCTTGCCCATTCAAATTCAGCGTTCCCGCGCTCTTTAGTGTCACATGCGGCCTCGTGAAAATTTTGGCGGGTAAACTATTAACTCGGGAATCACGGAAAGATATTCACCTTTCAAGGTTTCGAATTCAGCTTTCATGCGTTGGTGCGTGAAATTTTTAACTGTTTTCCAATGTCTGAACTATTTTTGCATAGACTAAAGTACAAAGCAGTGAAAATCATTGGTAGGCAATCGTTCGTGGGCTGAATTGCACAAAACGCATGATCGCACCAGCTAGTCTGGTGCGCGTTGCTATTTATATATTTTGGAGCCGAAGCGGGGATGCATAGCAATTATGCTTTGTTATTTCTATTTTTTACCTTCTATTTTCAATATTTTATGCCATTACATTATCATTTCTACTTCTCAGCACCATTACCTTCTATCATTTGGTACCATTATCTTCTACCGTTAATAGCATCGCCAGCGAGTGGTTTCTTTTGTCAGTATCTTAAATCTGTTCGCTTCTCTCTCTCCCAGTCCAGGACGAAAATAAACTTTTTGCGTTGGCCATCATCTGTTAGCGCGATAAACTATTTGATAACATTATTGATAATGACACATAAAATGCTGCATCGAACTTCTTTTCGAGAACGATTCTCTGGGCGAAATCTGACGTTCCATTGTGCTTTGCATGCTACTTCAATAGCGCATTTGCAGAAATGGATTTTACTGGCAAATTACTGACTCAACTGACCATCATCGTACTGACCGCAACATTACTGCTTTCTGCAAGCACCTCACAACAGAAAGGTCTAGTTTTTTCAGACAGATTCATTTCGAAAATTTCCTCATTACCATTATCGTATGCCTGGAAAAAAGCATTGGGGGGAGCTACGAGCAGGAGGAGGCTTATTTCAAGGTTTCATCCTCAGTTTCTGAATCAGCCGGGAAGAACTTGGCTGGTCTAGCGGTCCGGTGAGTTGTCAGAAGACGAATCAGAGAAATATTTCTATTTGGAGTTTCGGGACATAAGATGTTAAGCAGACGAAAATTCGCTCGTTATACTTTGATTTTTTCTGTTCCGACTATGTGGATCAGTTTTTCTTGGGCTACAACAGTATTTTGGTATTTATTGGGAGCTGGCCATAAAAGAGTTTTCCTTTTTTGTTGCTTCTGAAATCTGTTGGGAAATCAGAGAGAGAGAGAGAAAGGTTTTCCCCTATGAATGAATTCTGTGTTTCTTATGCTCATCGCACTTCATTCCTTGTTAATTGACCAAAAATTTCTTTGGTGGTGTAACAACTGCTTATTTGTTTTCAAAATTTCAGAAACAGAACATATCGCATGCCATGACTGTTTGAGTAACAATCCATCCTGCAAAGATATATGCCATGGGAAATACTGCTACAAGGCGGAATTCATCGCTGATGGTATGTGCATGTTTCCCACTTTTTCTCCATGAACTACGTGAAAAGGAAACTGAGATATTTGGTGAATTTGCTTGTACATATCCCCTTATCGTTGAAATTGTAAAGCGCAATCCCGTCAAGCGGTGAAAATTATCAACCTCAACAACTCACAGGTCGTTAGGAATGGGACCAGATGGATGGTCATTCTCATAAAATAATGTAGAGATGTAAAGACGATGTCTGGGTTATCACACGTACAGAAAACGGAAAGTATAAAGCGAAAAAGATAGAATCTTTTCAAGTCATAATTCAGATCATTTCATATGGTTTTTTTCAGTTTTTCTTTGTATGTTTTAGGTGTTACAACCATCAAACGTGGTTGTCTCAATCAAACAGATGATGGTTTTCCGGTTCGCGGATGTGATGAAGCACCATCCGATTTACCTGGTTCCGATGTGAAAGCTACTGAAAGGATGTGTATTTGTCAATCAGATCGGTGTAATAACGCTGCTCACTTGTCTTTTACATCTGTTGTATTAGGTCTGTCTGCTTTGTCTAGATTTTTAAGCGCTTTGTGGTGATCGCGCTTGTTGGTATTCAAAACGCTTCCAGTCCGTTTTTATCCGCTTTTCTCAATATTTTGTCTTCGTTTCCACTTGACTTTTATAAACACTTCATAATGTTTCTTTCTGATTTTTTCACACTAATCTTGCTGAATTTTACCCATTTTACTAACGGGCACAGTACTGTTGCTGTGCAGGAAATCGAAGATTCGACCTTGCCAGTGGGACAGCAAATCCCTTGTACGATTCGTTCATTCTTTTCTATAGTAAATTTTTACTATCATATGTCAGGGAATTAAATCGCCCATTAACTTGCTTTTATATAACTCTCGAAAGAAGGCACTATCGAAATTACTCTAAGCATGTGCTGCTACTCATACTTCTTCCGAGTGCTTCCGTCTCTCATAGAAAGCGAATACGAAGGGATTTGGCAGTTTATTGGTTCCCGTTGTTCTAAATTTCTTCATTTTTACGCAGACTCGTATTTTCAAGTAGAATGGTTTAGATTTTCGTAAAAAGTCGGGAAATTTGGCTTGTTTCGTAGACTTTTTTGGCCATAAAAGAGAAACGTTTCGAAATGTCCACTTCAGTTGTGTGTATGACAGTTGGAAGTTTAGAATGGTGAATTCCATCTTCAGCTTTATTTATGTAACAGTACCAAGATTCCAAGTCTTCCCGGGATATCAGTGTGGATATCCCTGCTAATGAAGTTATATTCTATGAAAATCCGTAAATATAAGAGAGCAGCAAGCGAAAATGTGAAAAATAAAAAGCAATATACTCTCGTCATACGCTCGCCTCATCTGCTTTCTGTACAGCTTCTTTCACAAATGCAGGTTTTTCCTTTTTGGATTTGATCTCTTACCTCGTATATTAACCTGTGATAATGCATCAACAAATAAGTAATTAACATATAATTGCCGTCCTTCTATGTTCTTCTGTTTCGGTCATAAGGTTTTCCTGGATATGATGCTTTTCTGGATTTATTGAGAATGTCTGTATCTCGCTCAGCTTATTTCCTATTGGAAAAGTACATTTATAATTTATAAAAGCTAGCTATCACTAGTTATTTTTCATCTTCGTTATTTTTTGGTTTTAACTTTTCTTATTTTATGCTCTAGTTGCTGTGGAAAGGCATCGGACTGATTTGTTGATGATCTTTACTGTGTTGTTCTACTCATCGTGTTTTGCAACTTTTGGTCTGCAGTTTTTCGGGTCGAGCTTTTTCTCATTTTTTTTTAGCTGAAATGTCATGTTTCATTCCACTTCTTCATTGCTTGAAACGCTTCAGTTCCTTCGCGAGTTTACTTTCTTCACGATTTTTTTTTGATTTTTGTCAAATGTGGTATTTATTTTATTTATTGGTACTTATTTAATG